CTGCTAGAGAGAACAATTTTGATGGCCTGACATGAGGAATGAAGAGTAACACACGCACTAAAACATCTAGTAATGATGAAAATCAAGATAAAACATGAACAAAGTCTATACTGCAGAAATACCTCTAGTAATAAAGTGCTCAGCCTCCAACAGTCAGCTGAGAAGAACACAGCACATCTTTACTCATGAAGCAGCCGAGAGGGAAAGCACAGTAGAAGTCTGTCTTTTATAGACAGAATAGGCGTCAAACTTTACCAATTCTTGAGTCTTCCAGTTAGGTATACTAGAAATATGAATACGGATGGATAAAAATTGCATTAACCCAGCAGAGCCAGACCTTTTCTTCAGTTATCTAAAGACAGAAAAACACCATCCCTCAATTTCCAGATCACGTTTCCTTCCAGGCCTGGGGATTATGAGAAGCCAAAAGGAATGCAAAATTTTATTTCATGGCTGTGCAGAACAACTTATAAATATGGAGCCAACATCAAAAGAACATGAGACCAAAGGTTACACACAAGCATAGAAAAACATCCACACAAACAACAGTAAGTGAAGCAAAATCATCTAATCGGGATTTAGCAGGCAGAAACAAAACAAAATCAAACCGACAAAATAACTTTTTTCTTACAAGTGTGCAAACTTTTTTTCTTTACACTGTTTGTTTTTTATCATTTCTAGTGTTTCTTGTTCCTTCAGACACATGAATATTGTATAAAGACAGGGAGGAGAACTCGTGTTGAAACAAGGGAAATGTCCAACACTTACGTTGCAAAAAAAAAAAATGATTAGGAAACCACCAGAGGTCCTTTGAGCATAAAGATTACCACAGTATAAGGTTATTTAAGAAATAATTCTGGCATCACATAAGATTTGGATAATGCATTTTTCTGAGAAAATTTGAGATGTAAGGGGCTTCATTTTTAAAGAAAGCTCCTTGGTTGTTGGTTGGTGCCATGAAAACATTGCCCAGGAAAAGGCTCAGGAAATTTTGAATGCCAAGCACAAGTGAAATGTGGTTTGAATCTATTTCAGCAGGTGTTACCCTATGATGAGATAATGAACTTGCATCTCTTCAGAGCATGAGATTCAGAGGCTACCCATTTCAAAACTTTGGTTCCTGTTAGGCAATATACATGCGTGCATGAAAACACATGCATATCATATTGTCAATAAATGCCTCAGAATTGCCAAATGTGACTGCAGCTAATAAAACCTGACATTCAGTGACTCTTAAGAAGGGTGGCTTTCATGAGGCTCACTCACATAGTACTTAAAAATGAAAAAAACTGGAGAGTAATTGCTGATAATTTGATTTTGGCTACTCATTAGCATCCTCCTGATTAGGAAAGCAACTGAACTTAGGCTGCCATATTTAGCTAATGTTAGCAAACTTGAATGTAATTAAATATTTTTTCCTAGTCTAAACAGGACCTCTGATCTTCTCTGTCATAATGTAAAGACTTCTGCCAAGCCAAAGACAAAGAATCAAGGTTCATGGATGTGAGAAACAGGATGAACTTCTCTGGGCAAGGCCGCTCCCTGCCTTTTCCTTACATTCTTCTCACATTCAGCTGGTGCTGTCAAACCTCACCTTATATTGAGCTTTAGAATCTATAAAGCATTACTTCAGGAAAATTATTTCAGGGGACAAAATATGAGTATGCGAAAACAAAAACACAGGCAAGGAGAGAGAACTGTGTACAGAAAAGGAAGCCCAAACAAGAAATTAATCTCTGAAAAATAAGACTTCTTCTGGGACACATCTCTCCTAGGGCATCTACTCAAACAAAACAGAGGACATAAAGATTGAACTACACACAACTAAAGATAATGTAACTAAGAAGAAATAAAATTGCACCTTACACAGAGCTGGTTCTGGTTCACGTGTGTGTCAGCCCCATGTCTCTTCTTCCTTCCTATTCTACTTTCTGAAAAAGCGATTTCAACTTGCTTCTACCCAGGCGAGAAGTTATAATTTTGAAGATGTTAACAACAAGCACAAGAACAACAAGTTCAGAAGCCCAGATCACGATGACATTTATGGTCAGATTTACAAAGTGCTTCTGAATAGGAGCCTTTGCCCTGTCACAAAAGACACCTGTGCAGATTCCCTGTCTGGAGATCTATTAAACACCGTGGCCCTCAAGAGAAGGAGAGAGTAACAGTGCAAGAAACCGAAAGCTGGTGTGCTAGCTTCAGTATTTGAATAGCACCAAAAAAATAAAAGTATGGACTCGCATCTAACGATGAGCTGTACAAATGTGAGGCAAGTAGAGTGGTGCATTGGAACAAACTTTCCACAGTGCCGACATTCTTGTTCACCTCCCTTATTCTCTACTGATGCAAAACAGTAGGGAATAGAAGGCAAGAGCAAAAATCCTGGCAGTTATCACAGTTTTGTGCTAAACAGGTCTATCAAAATCCCACCTGGAGTACTGAGTTCAGCTGTGGGGCCCTCAGCATAAAAAAGACCTGGACCTGTTGAAGTGAGTCCAGAGGAGAGCCATGAAATTGGTCAGAGGGCTGGAGCACCTCCCCTATGAGGACAGGCTGAGAGAGTTGGGGTTGTTCAGCCTGGAGAAGAAAAGGCTCTGGGGAGACCTTACAGCAGCCCACCAGTACCTGAAGGGTGCTACAGGAGAGATGGGGAAACACTCTTTATCAGGGGGTGTAGTGAGAGGATGAGGGGTAATGGTTATAAGCTGAAAGAGGGCAGATTTAGACTAGATATTAGGAACAAAATTTTCACTGTGAGGGTGGTGAGGCAGTGGCCCAGGTTGCCCAGAGAAGCTGTGGATGCCCCATCCCTGGAGGGGTTCAAGGCCAGGCTGGATGAGGCTTTGGGCAACCTGGGCTAGTGGGAGGTGTTCCTGCCCATGGCAGGGGGGGGAACTGATGATCTTTAAGGTCCTTTCCAACCCAAACCATTCTATGATTCTATTATTTTGACTGGATTGTCAATGTGGTATATGATAACATTTGGAATATTCAGACTTAGACATTCAACTCCATCCTGCGTGACGTTAAGTGTATTAGCAGGACTTTGCATTAATGTAGACCTTAAAGGCATAAAAAAATCACACCGCTTGTAAATTCTTATGTGGAATTAAGATCCAAACATTTCCAGGGGAGCTCTGAAAATGTGTCACAGAGCTCTGTCCTCTAACTGATACTAGTCAACCTCTTTATCTGTAAATAAAGGGGGAAAAAACCTTCCTTCGTTCTGTAAACTTAAAAAAAAAAAGGATTATGAAGAAAGGTTATACTGAGGGAGAAAACAGTCTCAGCTTCACATACAAGAAAGACCAGGCTCTGAGCCATCCATTTCCCTTGGGGGTCAGGGAAAGCTCTTTGGTTGTTGGTTGGTGCCATGAAAACAATGGCCATGAAGAGGCTCGGGAAAAAAGGGAAATCACACGTTACAAATAACTAGGAAAGCAAGAGCTACTGATGTCATCTATCTTGACTACTGTAAGGCCTTTGATATGATCTCCTACAACACCCTTCTCTCTAAATCGGTGAGATATGAATTTGATGGGTGGACTATTTGTTGGATAAGGAATTGGTTGGATGGTTGCATCCAGAGAGCAGTGGTCATCAGCTCAATGTCCAGATGGAGATCACTGACAAGTGGTGCCCCTCAGGGGACTGTACTGGGACCAGTGCTGCAGATGACACCAAGCTGTGTGGTGTGGTTGACACACCTGAGGGACAGGATGCCATCCAGAGGGACCTGGACAGGTTGGAGAGGTGGGCCCATGTGAACCTCATGAGGTTCAACAAGGCCAAGTACAAGATCCTGCACCTGGGCTGCACAATCCCTGGTATCAATACTGGCCTGGGGATGAAGGTATTGAGAGCAGCCCTGATAAGGACTTGCAGTGGATGAAAAGCTGGACATGAGCTGGCAATGTGTGCTTGCAGCCCAGAAAGCCAACTGTATCCTGGGCTGCATCAAAAGAAGCACGGCCAGCAGGTCGAGGGAGGGAATTCTCCTCCTCTACTCCGCCCTCATGAGACGCCCCCCTGCAGTGCTGCATCCATCTCTGGGGTCCTCAGCATAGGACAGACACAGAGCTGTTGGAGCAGGTCCAGAGGAGGCCACGAAAATCATCAGAGAGATGGAACACCTCCCCTCTGAGGACAGGCTGAGACAGCTGGGCTTGTTCAGCCTGGAGAAGAGAAGGCTCCAAGGAGACCTACTTGCAGCCTTTCAATACTTAAAGGGGCCTTACAAGAAAGATGGGGACAGGCTTTTTAACAGGAACTGTAGTGATAGGACAAGGGGTAATGGTTTTCAGCTAAATGAAAGTAGATTTATACTAGATATATGGAATAAATTTTTTTTTGATGAGGGTGGAGAAACACTGGTACAGGTTGCCCAGAGAGGTGGTAGATGCCCCATCCCTGTAAACATTCAAGGCCAGGCTGAACAGTGCTCTGAGCAACCTGATCTAGTTGAAGATGTCCCTGCACATTGCAGGTGGGGGTTGGTCCCTTTCAACTGAAACCATTCTATGATTCTATACACTACCACTATTATTCTGGCCACTGTGTGTATTTATATACTTGAGGAAGTCCTTTACAACTTAAATTTTACTCTGAAAGTTCTGAATTGCTTTGAAATTCTCCTGAGGTATTCTCCAAAATATCCCTTCCAGAGATACCGATACTCAGTTTGGTCAAGTCCTGGACTGAACACCTTACTTGAGGTTGGTTTAGAGCAGACAGCAAAGTTTTATGGCACAAGTGAGACTGAGAGACTGCCCGGAAACATTCTCCTCCAAGTTCTTCCACACCCATGTGGCAGCACCTCCAGAAATCTCTTTTCTATTTGCTCATGATTGTTCTAAACCTCTGTAACAAAACGTCAACATCCTACCCACTGAAGCAGTGCTGTTGTCATAATGGATAGCCATGCAAAGATATTCAAAGAAAACAGTCAGATACACTTGGAAGCTAAAGGCCACAATAAGCAGGAAACAAAAATACTTTACCATGTACATGAGACTGTTGGAAACTTTTTCCTGGTGCAAAGTGGAAATTTCCAGCTACCTGCAAGAGACAGTAATTTTTCGTTAAAAGATCTGAATCTATATAAATAAAGCAGTCATACTGGTGCTTGGATTTTTAAGTTTTTGTTTAAACAAGACAGATGCCAAGCAACTCATTTTTATAGGTGACAATATCAGCAGACATTGGCCTAAAAGAAACATGAATTTCCCCACTTCCTCGCAGACAGTCACATGGAAAGCCATAATTACATACTGATGTTGATAATAACTGTTCTATGCAGATTGTTTTAGCGGACCTAAAAATGGGAAGAAGGAATTAAGTCTATTGGGAGGAGTCTATTGACTGCTGCTCCAGGAAAAACAAAAACATATTACAGAAAAGGAGTGGAGAAAGCAACTGAGATGGAGAGCATGCAGGGTAACAAAACCCTTAATACAATAAACAACAGTAATCCATGAAAATAAGCAGCATGCAAAAATAAAGCACTAAACTTACCAAAAAAAGAAAACCCAACCCCCCCCAAAAGACCCCAAAGACCCCATCCGGCATGTTTCCAAACAGCCTGCACAGCAAAACACAGAACCATTCCTTTCCACTGCTGTTTCTGACTCTCCTACTGGAGTCCCTTACAGGCACAAGTACCTTGCTGAGCCCAGGGATTCTTATATTACAGTGCTGTGAACACCTGAAGCTGGAAAAGGAGAGGGGTTCTGCCTTTCACAGACCTCACCATCACGCCACAGGTTCACAGCAAAACCCATCTCTCACCTTGTTGACCTCTAGGAAACCATACACTTGGCAGCCCTCGTTCTTCTGCTCTTGCATTTTCTGGCTAAACCCTTCCCTCTTGCACTGCTCTATGCTATCCGGGTTCTTGAAGGCCCAGCCTCGCCGCCTGTATGCTTCTCTGACATCGTCACAAGTGTTACAACACCTGCAAAAGCACAAGCACCATCTTACCATCTTTATTGCTAGAAAGAGATGCTCCAGCTCAGAACTTGAATCCTTGGTGGATTCTTCTTCAACAAAGCAACAAAGCAAACATCAGCGACTGGATCTTGAAAGGCAGCCTAGTGCTCACGAAAGAGCTCGAGCTTCTCAATGTACTTTTTAATTATATATTGGCAGGAGGATGCAAACTGTTTGCATGCAGTTCTCAAATCTGAAAAGGGCTTTGCCTGTCCATTTAGACAGTCTCATCACTCCCCGGCAAAGAAATTTGCTACAAAACCAACATCAGTGTCCCACAGTTCTGAGCAGTTGGAACTTCTCTGTGTGAACAAAGCATCTGCCTGTTTCTGCTTCTCCTCTCCTCCCTTTTTAGGCCAAGACTATAAAAATGTGAGAAAGGGTTAATGGTAAACTTGCTTCATTACTTTTCTACCTCTTGATAACATCTTGGTCACCAGAAAAAACAGTTTTCTTTTTTGGTTCCATGTTTTGCTGGGCCAAAGAAAAAGTTGAAGTCCGGAAGCACAAATCTCTCAAGGCAGAAACATCTCTGGGGAAGGACCCAATTGGACAGATGGGACAGACCAGGTTACTTCAGAGACAATAATAGCGAAGGATAGTCCAGCACCTATGGACTATCGCAGGTCCATCCTTACAGGAATTTGCAGGTAGGCCAAAGGAAAAACATCAAACGACACCCGTTGTTTGTATGAGTGATGACTGTCTGATCTTTGCTGCCGTAAGGATGCAAAGCCTGCAGCAGAAGTCAGAAGGCAAGGCCATAACCAGGTTTTATTCCAAGACAGCTCAGGTAACAGTGAAATAATTTACACAGGTCCCCTCCAGACACCAAATAACCCCAGAAAAGATTACAGTTACAGTTGCTGAGATTCAATCTTGGTGCTACTGCAAAGGTAGTGCAATTTGCACTGCCCTTAAACAGCCGTGCAGACAATCTAGACAACCTAACTTTGCACATTCTTAACAATCATGAGTGCAGCTTCCAAAGGCATACCAAAACCACAACAGTTTTCATCATTCTCTGAACACGTGCCCAGGAGGATTTTATTGCACAGACCTTCACAGACATTTGGGAAAAAAGGGTGCATACACCATAACTGTATTAATTTAAGTACTAAGAAGATAGGAAAAAGTGTAAAGGTTACCGAATGTCCTCTGATTCTGCCCCATAACAGCTCTCACAGCGATCGGCATCCAGAGAATTTGGATCAAACACTTTTTCTTCTTCTCTCCCTAGCTCTAAGACAAGAGAGGATTCAAAGTGATGAGGCATGTCTGGAAATGCTATCTTGTACTCTTGTTCTGTCCTACACACAATAACTGTTCTACACGTGAACGCAATGATTTTGTGCCAGAAGCTGTGCATCCTGCACCCAAAGCCCACCTGAAATGGTATGCACAGAGCCTCTTGGGGTGTGAAGTAAGACCAAGAATCACAGTGGCATTTGTCATCTCATATGACACCCTCCATAGAAAGAACTGTCTACCTGTAAGCCTTGCCGGAGTACTGATCAGATGTTACTTGCATAAACACTTTGTTAAGACATTGTCTGAAGTAGACCCAATCAGTAAATCGAGACTGATAAAGGACCTGTTACACAAACAAATTTTTAAATAGCAGTAAACCACAGTCAACAGTGCATAACACATAATCCCGTCCCAAGACATGTAGGGAACATGGTTATATATTGCTGTGAAACCAGATGAGAGTGGGAGTCTCCAGAGTGGAAAATTGATGCCCAGCCCTCCAGGATGACAATGCTGACAAGGCACACACATTAACCACTGCTCCCTAGAAATCTCCAAAGAATTTCTACCTTTTTCATGACTTAACAATTCTACCAATGTCTGTGCCATGTGTGCCACAGTATGGCTGGGGCACAACTTCATGGAGCTTTATGTTCTTATGTGCAGAAGGCTGAAGAGGAACTTGTAACCAGAGATGAGAGCTGGCAACAGCTGAAACCTGCCAAAGGGCAGGAGATGCCTACAGAAAACTCAAACAGGACTTCTGTTTTGTCAAGAACCAAAACAAATCTCAAAGGTCTACAAATTTCAGAGTTAGGAATAAGTGAGCCAAGGAGTTTTGTATCTAAAATTTTCAAAACCATTGGCTCTTATAACAAGAGGCTGCCTTAAAATTGGGCTGTTTCAACTCACAAATACTGAAGGACAGAAGCAAGTCTCTTGGGTTACAAAAGCCCTCTAAGGCCCACTATCTAGGCACTGCTGCACTACCCTCTATAAGCCTTGAAAAGGGGGCTCCTTTGATAACTAATGTTAGGGAAGGTGATAAGGTACATAGTCAGCCACTGCTGAGGGGATAAAACATTATGAGGGCCTTGTTTGTTGAGATTGGGAGGTATAACAGGTGGATGGAAGCAAGTATTAAAGATGTCTGCATTTCCTATTAGCCACAGAAAAAAATAAATTTTAATTAGAAAGTATGAACTATGCACGAAAATCAATCATTAACCTTATTTCTTCAATAAAATAGTTTATGCTAGTTATGATCAAGCAAATAAAAACCTTTAGGAAAATATAACCATCATTAAACTACTGTGTGAGTCTTTCTAAGGCTTACAACATTCAAAGTAGGTGAAGGTGCACTTAAAAATTCACTGCTTAAAAAGTGGTATGGCTTTTATGCTTGTAATTACACTAAAAGATAGCATAAGGAACACAGGTTAATAATTGCTAGGCTTTGTCCAAACCATGATTCCCACCATTTGAACAAGAACACCTGTACAATATATGGAGTAATTCAAAATACAGCAACCAGTAACAGCTTTTTAAATGTAATCAGTAGCTGCCTGTTAAGTTGTCTCACAGACAGCATCCAGAAACACACACAAAGTAAATGCAGTATGGTGCAAGTTTAGGCTCAAGGCTCGAGTCTACTGGAGCCTTCCCTGGAGAGAGGCTCTTTCCTCTAACCAGGTCATCGCATTTGTCAGCCCACTGTGATCTAAAGAGACAACCAAAGCCAAGTTTTGTCAGAACAGCTGCTTGGTTTCTAGTTGTAAAAGACCATTAACTCATCAGCTTTATTTCCAAAAATGCATCCATGAGCCCTTGTCCTAATTTCAGAGGGACTGGGCAAAGATTTGCCCGGCAAAAGTAGCGAGTATAACAGGAGTTTGTCTGATCTGACAGTTTCACAGATTTGGGTGCTATAACCTCTTCAAGAGTTTATGGTGTTTAAATGCTTTTCAGCTGTCACTTGTTCCTGTGAAAGTCAAAACTGGCATACACTGCTAGGAAGACTACAAGAGCATCCATCCAAGAAAGACATCTCACCATGTCTCTCGGCCTCTGGAGTCACACGATTGCCAGCTTTATCCAAGCGTTGCTTGAACAGATTGTGCTCTACATCCAGCTGCTGTTCTCCTGCTACGTCCATGGCATCAATACTCAAATCTGAAAGCCATGAGCAAGGAAAGTGGTCTACAAATGCATATTTGTTATGGCCTGTGGCAGGCTGAGGAAGCATTCAAGCAAGGAAAATAGAGAATCTTTCAGCCAGGGGGGTAAGAATTTACCACACTGTAAGAGTATGTATGGTTGGGGTCAAGTGATGTCTAGGGAACAAGACACACACTGCAACACCCTCAATGATCCTTCCAAACATGGGGTTTTGGTTTGGTGCATAAGGATGACTGTTTCCACCTGACACATAAATCATTACCCTGAAAGGTAATGCACCTAAGGCAAAAAAACAAAACCAAACCCCTCAAAGACCATAACCATTTTCACAAACACCACTTCAGGAGTTAAACTGAAAATTGGTTGAAAGCTGCTTCCTACCTCTACCGCCTCACCCTTCAACATCAGCACATTTCCTTGTGATCCCTTTTCACAAAGAAGATTGAGAAGGTCTGTGGTCTTGGCCTGGTATCAATGCACTTGCTGGCTACACGCTCTCTTATAAGACCGACAGCTTCTCTGCACAAAACAGCAGAGGATTCCAGTCTCTCTGGCCTTCCCACGCCCTTTGAAATGTGAGGAAGGCAAAGACCAATAATATCTTGGGTGGTCAGAAGGAAGTCAGACTCCTCACATTTAGAGCCCATGCATTACCCAAAAGGAATTACTACAGCAGAACAAGAGGCAGGGAAGATAAGCAGACAGTTGGATAACGTGTGTAGCAGTAACACCCTGTAAGACACGCAAAAGTTTCTGTCACTTCATCATGCAACTTTGTTTTGAATTTAGTTAAAAGGTAATTAGATTATTAGCGCTCATTCTGAAAAATTTTGGAAAAACGTTATCATGTGGCATCAGCACTACAGTCAGAATATAACAACAAAAATAATGGAAAAGTTGTGCCTCGTCAAGTAACTTCCAAAGGAGAATCTAAAGTTTTTCAGCAATAATATAGTCAAATCTTGAGTCCCAAGTGAACTCTGTGCCAGCTCTTTCAGTATTACTGAGCTCACTGACAAAGTACAACACCATATAGAAATGCAAGTGGGCTTATACCTTATCCTCATTTATAAACTAGAAAATTAATACTGCCTAACTGGAAGCACTGGCTTAAGCACCTTTTGGGCCTGGCCGGAATCACTGTGTAATCACAAGAGATCACCAACTCCTCCCTATCTGTGGCCCAAGCAGCAGTGCAGCACTTGGAAGCACCAGGCTCATCGAGCCTCTTGGGCCCTTGGCAAGTAGGAAAATTATCCCAAATATTCAGAAGTCTAACTCACAAGCACAGGGCATATGTGGAAAAACAACATCTAGATTGATCTTCAGTTTATCTCCCCTTGATTTGTCAACGTACAATTCCGGATGAACCTAGGAACAGAGGAAAAAACAAGGAGTCCTATTTCACTTGCAAGCAAATCAAAGAGATTCTTTCCCCCACTGCTCTGGCTCAGGAGCCGAATTTTAAGACACGGGATTTGCAAGACACCTGAGCTGCTGCCTCCCACGCCTCCCATGGTAGCTAAGCTACACTGACACATGTAATACTTTAAAAAAGGCAATAATTTGTGAATCTGAGAATTTGGGGTGGGGATGAGACTTCCCACGCTTGTCTTCTTTTCTTTGCATTGCCCATTTCTATGTATAAGAGGCTCTGAGGCGCTCTCCCGGGACAGCCTCCCACAAGGCCAAAAGCCAGCCTTGGCGCCGAGCTGCTCTTGGGGGAGTGCAGCCCGCTCCCACCGTCAGGGCGACCAGCTGGGGGAAAAAAAGAGCCCAAA